GGCGGTGGGCGCTGTGTGTGTGTAAGCTCCAGGGCCATAATAGAGTCCAGATACTCATGTAGCTCAGTAACACTGGTATTGAAGTTAAAATGCAAAAGAAAGCAGCAGTTCCATGTTTGTTTGTTTGATTTTTAAGGAATAGAATCTTTTCTTCTAAGAAAAAAGAATCTTCCGAGGAAGGACAACAGTACACCATGCATCAGATCAAAGAGGACCTGCTCCTGAAGGGGTGGGGGTGGTTTGCAGAGAACAGAGCTTGCTCTCTGAAGTACCCAGCGCACAGAGCAATCATGGGGGGGGAGGGACGCAGTCTGAAAAATCACCACAGAGGGCGCAGCGATCTCCCAACGTAACTTCAGGAACGGACGCATCTCTCCTGTAGGGGTGATTGCGGGGCAGAGGGGAAGACATGCTGTTACAGATTGTGTTGGTGAACACAAATAAATAGGAAGGGAGGGGCGTGGAACTGTGATGGGCTAGCTGAAAATGTACGCATATTTTTATATACAAAGTACCCTGGTGGTGCAAGTAGTTAAGCCCTCAACTACCCACTGAGAGGTCGGCGGTCCACATCTGCCAGCTGCTCCACGGGGGAAAGCTGAGACCGCCTGCTTCGATATTTAGTCACGGAAGCCCTAGGGGACAATTTACTGTTCTAAACGGTCGCTATGGCCTTGGAGGTGGAATCAACGTGACAGCAATGGGATTGGTTTCTAGGTTGAGTGTCTATGTTAAGAATATATATGAGCTGAATCAGAGCTTAGCTTCACCTTTTTAATGCTTAAGTTGGAATTTTTCAGTTTCAAAAACAATTATAATGCAGATCACTGTTAAATTGTTGCTGTGCTTGTTAAACTTTAGCCTTTACCTTTTCACACGATGGGAAGCATCATTTCCAAGATAAAATAATACTTCACTGCAGATAACCTATCAGTGACTCTTAAGCTATGAAGACCAGCTGCCCCTTGGTTCCAGAGTCTCTCCACGTCAACTTAGATCCACGGTCGTTTCCCAGCGTCAGAGGGTTGCTGCTTTCCCTCTCCTTCCCTCTCGCAGAGGGGATGGCGGTCCTGCTATCACGTTAGCAATCTCCAAGTTGGCATACCCTTGGTTCATTGAAATATGGTATGGATAGGACAAATCTAACTATGAATTTTCTTGCTATAAAATGTCCCGTCCCAGGAAATGAATTCCACGGATTTAAACGTGTCCAGGTCATCATTCACTCATTATACGTTAGAATGACAACCCTCTTCCCTCACTAGAAAACTCAGTGCCTCCCTCATTCGGTAAGAGTAGAAGAAATCTCACCTATAGTGGCCTTGTCGGTCTCTATCTCTGCCAGTAAGTCTCCTTCACTGAGCTTCTCACCCACTTTTTTTTCCCATCTCTGAACTGTGCCCATGGTCATAGTGGGCGAGAGGGCAGGAAGAAGCACCTATAGAGAGAAACATGTATTATTGCTTTGGTCACAATGGTACCCAGGCATGGTTCTATCACTTTCTGGAAGGACTGTAACTGTGACAATCCACATTCCCATCTGCACCATGCCCTCAGAACAGTAAGTGCTCAGTGTCTCAATAGCTTGCCACACTTAAAGCATCCTTCACATCACAAGCTTTAGTAACCAGATTCCAAACAACCCCCCAAAGTTGAAAACACTGGGTAGACATGAAAGATTTCTTTCTAACCAGTTCACACGAATTCCTCAATAAATAAGCATAGCGCTTATCTTCACTTTAACTTAGATCAGTTCAGGCTATTAAAATTGTACTGTGCTTCCTATTTAGCATATCTTTTGATTAAACAAACAAACATTCCAAAGTGGGATTACAAAAATCATTTCCACCACAATAAAACCCAAGTATCGTGTGGTCTATCTAAATAAAATGTTGCTGATAAACAAGCGGCCATCTAGCTGAGAAACAACAAAGCCCACAAGGAAGAAGCACACCAGCCTGTATGATCATGAGGTATCGATGGGATTGGGTATCAGGCATCTAAGACCCGGAATAAAACCAAACCCAAGGTGAATGGTGGAGTGGGGCATGGAGTGGACACCCAATGCCCATCTGTAGACAGTTGGACATCCTCTCACAGAGGGGTCACAGGGAAGAGATGAGCCAGTCAGGGTGCAGTATAGCACCAATGAAACACACAACTTTCCTCTAGCTCTTTGGTGCTTCCTTCACCCCACTATCATGACCTCAATTCTACCTTACAAATCGGATTAGACCAGAGCATGCACACTGCTACAGATAAGAGCCCGCAATACCCAGGAATCCAGAATAGATAAACCCCTCAGGGTCAACAATGAGAGTAGAGATACCAGTAGGATTAGGGGATTGTGGGGGAAGAAAGGGGAAATCGATCAAAAGGATCAACCGAGAACCCCCTCCCAGGGGGACGAATAACAGAAAAGTGGGTGAGGGGCAACAGCGGATGATGTAAGATAGGGAAAAAGTAATCTATAATAACAAGGGTTCAGGGGGGAGGGGGGGGGGAAGGAGGGGGAAGAAATGGGGAGCTGACATCAGGGGCTCAAGTGGGAAGAGAATGCTTTGAAAATGATGGTGGCATATGTGCAAATGTGCTTGGCATACTGGAAGAATGTATGGATTGTGATGAGATGTAAGAGCCCCCAATAAAAGTATTTTTTAATTAATTAAAATATATATATTGGTTTCCTTTCCATTGGCTTGTATGTCCACTGAGTATGAATGCTTACTTAGTTATTATGAGCTTCACTGGCTGTCTTCTTCATCTGTTGAATCTAATTAATTACAGGATTATGCTGAGTGAAAAATCATTTTAATCAGTGATATATCAAAAAGGGAAATAAAAACCTAAAGTTTTAGTATTCTAATTAAAAAAAATTTTAATGGCTTTTCTTGCTGTTTATCTGCTTAATTTAGTGAATATAATTAGGGCAAAATCCTAACATTTGCACACAAAATCACAAACAAAATAGTGAAAAATGAACTGTCTTACTTCATTAGACAGAATTTGCTAAACATGATGAAATAAACATGTGAGTTGACACCAGGCAAAACATCATCATAAGTGATTGTTAATAACAGCGCATACTGTTGAATTATATATGCAAAGGAAAAAAAATTCTTATACAGAAATTTCCACAAATATAGTAAATAAAGGTGATGTTCTAGTATTAATCCTTTAAAAAGAGAAGGCTGGGTTTTTTCCACTTCCAAGCTCTACAACAAACAAATACAGATGGAATAATTCTAATGTCTAAGAAAGTGATTTAGTTACTGGAAGTGGTTCCGTTGACCATCCTTCAGCTGTATTTCAGTGCTACTGTATAAAGCTATTGTACGCATCACTTAACATCCACAACACAGCCTGTGAAACAGGGCATTGTGTGATTTGGACAATGTGCAAACACAATATTTTATTCAAGGAATCCCTGATTGTGAACAAGTTCTATTCTTAGGTCTGTCTTTAAGTCAAATATGCACATAATTCAGAATAGTTAGGTGTGGTTTGTATCTCATGTCAAATAATCAAATGCTTGTCTTAATATCTAGTGTATTTCTATGAATAAAAAACATTAATGACATACTTCCAGGAACACTGAAACATTTTTGACATAACACAGTAATCATAATGGTGATTTGATGTGCATCACAAAATGGTGTCCATTGGTATTATTAACATAAAAATATGGCTATAGCTACATATGAGGGGGTACCTACCTCAAAATGGAAGTTTTTTTCAAAGCTATGTATTTAAATTATGTAAAAACAACCTTTATCACCTTCAAAGTACTCTCCATTACACTTAATACATCAAATCTGCGATTTCATTCTTGGAAACATTTTTCAAACTCATCTGTTTGGATGGCTGACAGCACCTCCCTCATTTTTTTTCTTCACCTCTTCTATGTTGCCAAACCACTGTCCTTTCACGCCCCTCTTCATTTGTGGAAACAAAAACAGTCACATGGAGCAAGGTCGGGTGAGAAAGGCGCATGGGACAAGAGAGGCAAGCTATTTTTTGCCCAAAACTGGTGCACTGAGATGGCTTCATGAACAGGTGCATTGTCATGGTGGCAATACCAGCCCCCCTTCTGCCACAAATCAGGCCTTTTGGGTCCCACATTGTTATGCAATCTTTTCAGAACCTCCAAATAGAAAGCTAAATTAACAGTCTGACCTGGTGGAGCAAAGTCCAAATGCACTATGCATCAACATTTTTGTCCTTTCAGAAAGTTGTTGAATGTCCAGGACAAGGTTTGTCATCAATCAACATTTCACCTTTTTGATATGAGAAAACCACTCACACACTTGAGAGTTTTTCCCATAGTGCTGTCCCTGTAAGCTGTGTTCAACATCACAACAGTTCCTGGGACATTTTCCCCAAGCAGGGAACAAAATTTTACAGCCGCATGCTGTTCTCTTAAATCGGCCATCACAAAAAAAGAGGGTCGAGCAAAACTGCTTTTACATAAAATTCCTTGTGACCAGAGAGAACCTTTTCTGGGGGAACCTGAACCTGCCACTGAGTACACTAACTCAGAGTGAGTTGCTTGATGCTCAATTAGCTAAACGAAAGCTCTGCTCCACCCAGCACAATTCGGGTTTTTTGGTTTTGTTTTTTTTTGGGGGGGTGGGGACGAGGGGTGGTAACCTCAAGTATATGGCCAGAAGTTGCACAAACATATTCTGTGCAGCAAATGACTGTATGGCCATTCTAACTTTTTAATTTTTTCCCCAGTTTTCTGGTTTATTAATACTACTGGACGAGGTAACCCACTCTTAGAAAACAGAACATCATATATCAAAAGAAAAGACCAACAGTACCTGATATCTACTAAAAATTCTATTGACACAGGAAATAAAGATTAAGTATAAATCATCCTCAAAATTCTTAACATAAAGATCTTAAATGAGAAATGCAAACATTATCCTCAATGCTACACAGGGCCCCAGAATGGTTAAAGGAAATGTCCAAGTTCACATACCTGGATATAACAACTAGGAATAAAAATTGTTTTCATGCATAAATCTCTATTTAGCCCAAAATGACATGAGCAAGCCACAGTTAATACTAGTTTCTAGGAATGTGATAGCCACAATGGAAAATCATGAATAATCAACTCTCCAGAGCCAATACTCAGAGGCTGAGCCTCACCTGCATATGAGTGGGATATGAGCTACCAGGAGCCTGAGCAGAAGGTGTAGGTAGTGAAGCAGCAGGGGTTGGTGCTGGGGATGCTTGTGGGGTGGGTGCTGCCGAGGTATCCAAAGTATAATTTTTAAAGGCCTCAATATCCTCAGGCCTAAGGAAGAGAGAGAATGCAAAAATATAAAGGGGTTGGTTATAAAGCAGAATCAGCTCCCAGAGAAGCAGCTTTCAGAGAAGCCTTTTATTCCTGATTTCTCAATCTTGAGTTAAAAAAAACACACTCCACTTGGCACTGAAGTCCCACAATATATCAGGGCACCACTCACTTTTCAACTGTAATACAGATGATTGAGCCAATTGGAACATCTCTGGTACCTTCAGCCACAAGTATCTTTGCCATATAACACTCCTCCATGCTCTCGAACCCAACTGTGGCTTTGTCAGTTTCAACCTCGAAAGACAAAAAGGCGGTTTAGGTTGGTGCGGCCAGTATAAAGTTTATTATTTATCAGTTTATGTCTCGAATCATACCGTTCAACTACCACAGATTTAAAAATACGAATCATTAAAAGAACTCTTGGCTGAAAACTAGTTTTGGCTAAATGCCGACCACTGAGCTAACCAATCGTCTCGAATATAAAAATGTTAAAAAGAAAACAAATCTCACAATCGTTTCTTAAGCACCCTGAAAGTTCATGTCAAGTCAATCCCTTCCACCAGTGGTTCTCAACCCCTTTGGAGGTCGAACAACCCTTTCACGGGGGTCGCCTAAGACCAGCGGAAAACACATATTTCCAACGATGGTCTTAGGAACTGAGACACCGCTCCTCGATCCATCTCCAAGCGGATCCGCCCACGTGCAGATAAGCCCACATACGAGTACCCAGCGTGCTTCAAGACAAAATTTCATTTATTTGTAATTAGAAATAAATATTTCACAATATATAATTACATATGGTTTTGTGATTAATCACTGTGCTTTAATTATATTCAATTTGTAGCAATGAAAATATATCCTGCATATCAGATATTTACATTATGATTCATAACAGTAGCAAAATTAGTTATGAAGTAGCAACTACAATAATTTTATGGTTGGCGGGTCACCACACCGTGAGGAACTATATTCAAGGGTCGCGGCATGAGGACGGTTGAGAACCACTGCCTTAGACCCATCCCATTTTAAAACAACTCACCTCTGCAATGAGTTCGCCCTCATTGATCTTTTCCCCTTCCTTTTTCTCCCAACGGGCTATGGTGCCTGCCTGCATTGTTGGGGAAAGAGACGGCAAAGGAACCTAGGAGAGAAAAAGGAGAAACACTAATTTTCAAAAGGGGGACCAAACTCTCGGTCTGGTGTAAGGCTTCAATCAACGGGATTCCCATGACACGCTGGATCCTGGGGATATCGTGACAGTTCTTGCCCATCTGAGGCCAATGTTCTCCAGTGACAGGTGTCCAGCTCCCCGGTCCCCTGGGTCTGGCGGGGCGCGTCCCGGCTGACATATAGTACAGCGCCCCGGGCTCTCCTTTCAATGGGATCGAAGAGGTGGAGGAAGCTCGAGACCAACAGCAAAGGAGGGGAGAGCGGAAAGGGCAATGACATTCACCGGGGCCTCAGGGAGATGTGAGCCCCGGTCTAATGTGAAGGGCAACGGGGTCCCACGCAGGGCGAGGCGGGGGCTCACCTTCTGATGGGGAGGGAGGCTGTAACAGCGGCGGCCGGGCGCCCCCAAGAGCTGCAGCAGGAAGCGGTTCCGTGGTGGGGCACAGGTGCCAGGGCTCCAACTGCAGAGCGCCCGGACCCCTCCATTCCCCGTGATCCTGCTGTGGCAACGAGCCGGGCCAGATCGCGAGGTCACACGCAGACCCCCAGATCCCTCCCTTAAGGCCGTGTCCCGAACCCCGAATCCCGCCTTTGGGGCTGCACTCCGAGCCCGTCGAGCACAGACGCGCCACATCTTGCCACTGACCCCACAGCCCAAACCCAACGACGCCTTCTCCGGAGTGACCTCTCCGAGAGCAGCACGACGCTGCCGTCAAGCACGCCACGCAGCCGCACGCTGTCGTAAAGCGGGCCCTGAAGAGTCTCGCTGCCTGCTGCCCGCGCCAGCAATGTGCCCCCGGTTCGCCCTCTCTTCCTCGGGGGCGGCTACTTTGGAGCCCCCGGCACGGGGACGTTCCGGGCGGGGCCACGGGTGGAGAGGGTCGGGCCCTGCCGGGCCCGAGGAGAGGCATCCCACGGGGCGGGGCCTGACAGGTGAGAAGCCGCCCGCCGAGAGGAGGGGCCACGGCGGATGGGAAGGGCTGGCCTCGCGGAGGGAAGGCGAAGCTAAGTGGTCGGCGAGGCTGGCCTGGTGGCTGGGCGAGTTTTGTGGAAGGGCTGGGGACCTGAGATCTCAGGCTAAAGGCGGGGTTCGGGGGCGCCGCGGCAGACTGAGGCGGAAAGAGGGGGAGCTAGGTGTGCCCGCCTCGGCTGTGCCCGCCTCGGCTGTGCCACCGTTAGCCGGGCTTGCGGCCCCGGCTCTGCCGGGTTACCGCGGTTGCATTTCAGGTTAGTGGCCCGGCTGGAAACTGGAATGAACAGATTTTTCCAGCCACCTAGTGTGAAGAGCAGCCAAGCGGAAGATTCCCATATTGAAGGTGGATTTGAGCAGGATTAAGCATATTCAAGTATAAAGACACGGGTTTACCAGGGAATCCCCTTTAAATACCAAATGTCTTGGACAGACTTCATACCAAAAACCAAAACTGTCAAGCTGCAGAAGCCTTGTTGGTAGGGTTCTTCCTAGTTCTCTGCGGAGCTGAGGATGGTCAGCTGCTGTCCATTCCCGACTGTGACTCGTGGTGACCTTATGTGTCCAAAAAAAAAAAGCCTAAACACCGCCCTTGCGTCCATTTCAACTAATATTTGGTTTTCCATTATTTCTTAGGGGAAAAATATGTTCAGTTCTCTGACTTTTCCATGTTCAAACCCAACTTCGGAAGGAAATGAGTTCGACAACCGAGGTATCACTGCAATCTCCTATTTTATACTTAGAAATACCAATAGCAAATTCTCTGTAGCAATAAAGTAATCCTTATCTTCCCTATCCAAGTAGAAAGTAAACATACTACTGGGAGATCACTTGAGATTTACTTTCATTAAATGTAAGTGGTTTATTGACTAATCTTTATCAAGAAGATGATTAATGGTAATTTAGTTTGCAAACTCCATTTTATTCAGGTTTGGTTTTTTGCAGTTTTTGTTTTTAATTAGTACACAAATCTCTGGTACATACAGGCAGTTGAAACTGGTTATCACTTCGATAATCAGAAACCTTTGTTATAACAGTCTATGAAAACAGCATAAAACAAGGAGAATACACAAGTCTCTTGGAAAGCAATGGTTGAAAACCTCCATGTTTCTAAGAAAATATAACTTTACATATATATTTTAAGCAAGCGATACCTCTAACATAAATTCAGACATAGTAGTGTGCAATCATAATGCTCATTTTATAGAAAAAGATGAAAATAATAACTATAACTTAAGTGCTTTTTAGTAATTAGAAGCCTCTCAGATTGGATGTACTGCAGTTTCCATAATTTATATCCATCATGGTCAAGAAGGTAAGTATATAGGCGTGCCAGTGCAAAGCAAATTTAACCCAGATTCTTTAAATGCAAACTATGAAGTTTTCCACTCCCCTCAAATTGAGGGAACTGAGCAAGAACATCAGTTCTCAAGACAACGTTTTAAGGAATTTCTCCTAATCTCTCGGAGTGGGCCATTTATTTTTCAATCCAAAACGGTTGCGAGATCATTTTATGAATTCTTGGTAAACATTCTAGTTCCTTAATTTTCTCCAGGAACGGGAATATCAGCAGTATTAAGCTAGACTAATCCATGAACTCCTCTAGGGGACAATATGCAGAATACATCAAGAGGGCTCCTGGAGTGAAGCCACAGGGCCTCACCTCAGACTTCAGAACCACTAGTTCATGAGTGTCCTCCTCAGAAGGCTCCTCTCCCTGTAGAAACTGGAATGAGGATCACCAGCACATTTGACACGAAAGCACACAGTAGGTTTACCCGTGCTACACCAGCTTAAAGGGGATGGGAGGGGAGCTTGTCCCCTGAACTCAACTTCAGCTTGCAATGGAGGGATTGAGACCAGGAAGCGTCTTCCCAAAGGACACAGAGGTACCTATATAATAAATAACATAGAGGACCTAGAAATTTTCTGATTCAATTTTCTCTGAAAAGTTTAATTCCGCATAATAGTAGGCCTGTTTGCTGAAAGAAAACTGACAAGCAAAACCACATTTAGGAGACAGACCTGCAAGATAATCTGCACTGGAAACACAGTAACAAAATGTTGGCTTGATAATTCTCATGCTGTTTTATAGCAAAACAATACAATACATGCAATAAAGGAATATGTGACGTGAAGACTCTCCAGACTTATTAGAGGAAAACAAAAGCAGGTGACACTTTTCTTGTTTGCTTTCACGATGAATTATTCTTGCTATTGACTTCTGGCATTTCCAATGAGAAATTCTTTAACAGCAAGAATATTAGGTAAACATACAATAAAAGAACTTCAGGTGTCTTTTGAGCTCCTTCTGCCTTCTAATCACATGGATTACATAACATTACCTCCACAACTAAAACTGGCAGGTTACAACTGGAACAGGACTCGTTTGCTATCAATACACTCATAATAAAATAAAGCTTGTTCTGACACCACAGGGGGTGGTAAGAAGAACCGGTACAAAAGCTACTGGGTTCTCTAGAAAATGGATACAGTATACAGAACTCACATTCAAGTTATAAAAATAGACATGGTTCTCAGACAAAAAGCAAATGAGTACAAAAGAAGTCTCCAAACATTGAGCTGTTTAAAAAGACACACCGATATAAAACAAGATGTCATCATCTCAGAGCACAGAGTCGTCTGTCGAAATGGCTGGAATGGAAGATGAACTGGAGACAGGTCAAGAACCCAGAACTGGTCAGTCCGACTCTTCAGATTGGCAGTGTACGACGGTGATCACAGGCAGACTGCTTTGGGGAATACGTGTGTAATTATGGCTGATTGGTTGATAGACACTTTAAGAGGGTGAAGGAAAAAACCTAGGTTACAAGTAATTGCTGCAAGTTACACTCTTAGTTTCTACATTTGACAATGTTGCATATGAAAAAGGATTCTGGTTGTTTTCACCCAGAATCAACCCTGCCATTCATAACTCATGCTCCATGCCCCATGGTTTCTAGTGTACCCTAAAGGATCAATCTATACTAAATAATCATAGAAAAGAACGCCTGGCCTTGAAATGACAAGAGGAAAGACCAGTCCGTCATTCATGCTGAATACTCATAAATCACAAAGAAACACAAAATCAATGATCTGCCTCCTTTTGACTGCAAAGGAGATGCCATGAGCCTGCTGGCAAAAGACGAGACACAGAAAGTCAAGAAGATAGGGGTAGCAGCCCCTTTTTCCATACCCGCCTGGATCTTTAAGGAGCTTCTCACTTACTCTTTACTCCTTTCAAACACAAAGCTCATCAGCTGCAAAAAAAGATGAAATGGCTCTAAAGTTAGAGAGTCGCCAGAGAGAACTAGCAGTACATGAATTATGCCCTGCATGGGCCAAAGGACAAAATTACAGGACCAGTTAAGACATGAGAGTCATCCTAAAGTCTTAATTATGGTTTTGAGGCTAGTATAGCACAACATGAGCAGCCCTTTGTCCATGCAGTCAACATGGGTAGTCCTTTTTCCTTCCATTCCACTTGAGCACCATCCATGTCCAGTCCAAAAGATGAATGAAGGGCAGGGCCTTCAGCTTTGGTACCACCTTATGAGTTATTCGTGGTTTGCAGTAGCTGCAAGGAAGCAGAAAAGCTGGTACCTTTGTTCTGTCTGTGAGTAGATGCTGGGACTCGTTGCTGCAAACATCAAGGCCAATTAAAATAATACCATAACACAAAGGAATGATGTATCCAAGTCCCAGATTCCAGAAAATAGCAGCCATGCCCCTAAATGGGCGGGATCATCCATCCCCATTAGTTAAGGCCTCCGGTTTGTTGTCCTCAGTGTAAACCAAAACACTGCGTTCCCACGGACAAGGAACTCCAGAAGAACCCATGGTCTACATTTGGATGGGGATTTTAAGTACCAAATATGCCAGGCACAGAAACAGGACTGGCCTGTGGCCACTACGCATGGCGAAGCTCCTGTTTTGGCAACATGAACTAGAAACTTCTAAGTATTCTGATGTTAGTCCCCTTTCCTGAGTGAAGCTGCCAGGGAGGGGCCAAGTTCCACATGGCCCCAATCTAACAACCAGCATTAAATCTCTCCATGGTCTTCTTCTACCCAAGCCACAATTTTCCCTTCCCATCCAGGAATGGCATCATCATCGTGGAAAACCTGGAGACAGAAAAGAGCCGTAATGAAAAATAACAGAATCATGCAGGAGAGCTAAGAAACCACTATTGATGAAAATAAGACCTCTAACAAAGTATGAGAAAGGGCAGAAGAAAGCCTTGAGGTAAGAGGCTATGATCCTGAGCTCGAGTACAGAAGGATTGCCAGGATGACCAAGCACTGGCAATGCTTGGTTCTGTTGTGCATGGACTTGCGAAGTTGGAACTGACTTGATGGCACCTAATAAAAATTATAGATTTATTAAAAAAAAAAAGAGGCTATGATCCTTTGGTGTTGTCACTAAAGTTA